TCCACCTAACACTACCTCTATCATCCAACCCATGGATCAAGGTGCTATTGCAGCTTTTAAAGCTAATTATTTATGTACGACCTTCGCTCAGGCTGTTGCTGCTACTGAAGGTGAGGAAACGCTCAGACAGGTTTGGAAGGACTACAACATTTTGACATGTACAGTGATCCCTCGGGTTCACGAGCGCCTCGGTTAACGAGATTTCGGTTAACGAGTTACCTCCCATAAGATTCTTAACTTCGGTTAACGAGCATTCCCTTGATTAAGGAGTTTCTTACGAGCCGACCTCAACATGTTTTCGCTTGCACTTGGCGGTCAACCAGCTGCAGTATAGTCCGCCAATACAGTAATCGGTTCTAGAGCTTCAATTCCTTACGATGATAGTAAATATCAAGAAGCTTATACTATTCAATAATTTTAAAAGTTTAATATTAAATTTTTTAGTCATTTTAACAATTATTGAACATAATTGAAGGTAAAGTCACTAGTTTGTGGCGTGCCATCCATCCTCTTAACACACCAAACAAGTGTTAGTCTCTCTCTGTTTTCAGTGGAGGTAACATCTTGCTTGAGACTCTCTTCAACTAAATGCTTTTTTCTGTGTTTCCAAGCAAATTATTGGTCATTTTGAAATTTATTTTACATATTGACAATATATAGCGCAGTGCAGTGTTATTTTAAAGAAAATATTCTTTATTTACAGCTAGTTTAAACTTAAAAATCACATGGTGAAATTGTTTGAATCCAGCATGGGGCCAAAGAGATCAAGAAAAGCGATTTCAATCCAAACCATGCAGGAAATTATGAAAAAACATGAAGAAGGCATTTGAACAAATGCACTAAGCAAAGAACATGGCATGTCAACATCAACTGTGTCGACAATTCTTGCACAGAAAGACAAATTTAAAGAAGTGAAAGTGAGAGACAAATCTACCAGAGTGTTTAAAAGTAGATCCCTAATTGCAGAAACTGAGAGGTTACTTCTCATCTGAATTAGGGAATAACAGATGAAAGGTAATTCAGTTTCTACTGAATTCATTTGTGAAAGAGCCAGGGAGATTTACGAACATTTAAAGACAGATCAACCTGGTTCTTCAGGAACAGAATTTGAAGATTTTTGGGCCAGCAGAGGCTGGTTCAAAAAATTTAAGAAAAGAAGTGACATTTTCAGTGTTGTTAGGCATGGTGAAGCTGCTAGTGCTGATAAGGAAGGGGCAGCAAAGTTTTTAGTGGAATTTAAAGAACTGATGGAAGAAGAAAATTATCTTCCACAGCAAGTGTTCAATGTGGACGAAACTGGGCTGTTCTTGAAAAAGATGCCCAAAAGAACATTCATCACCAGAGATGAAGCCTCTTTACCTGGGCATAAACCCATGAAAGACCGTCTCACTCTATTGCTTGGTGCCAATGCTTCAGGGGATTTCCGACTGAAGCCTATGCTCGTCTACCACTCTGAAAACCCCAGGGTGTTCAAGCAACAGAAAGTAGTAAGAGCAAAGCTTAGAGTTTATTGGAAGTCCAACCGTAAGGCATGGGTGACAAGACAGTTCTTTAATGAATGGGCAGTTGAGGTGTTTTGCCCTTCTGTCAAGAGCTACCTAACCACCAATAAACTCCCTTTAAAGGCTCTTCTCCTCATGGATAATGCTCCTGGTCATGACCCTGAACTTGCCTCCCAACACTACATCAATCATACAGCCAATGGAAAGCACTGTGGTCATCAGTAGTCCATGATTTTGAGGGATGTCAAGATGACACAGAGTTGGACCAGGAGATTGTGTCCACTGGTCAGTCATTGGGCCTTGAAGTGGAAGAGGATGATGTCGAAGAGCTTGTGATGTCTCATGAGCAGGAACCTACTTCTGATGACTTGAAGCAACTGGATGAGATGTTAGAGGCTGACAATGGTGAGGAGGAAATTGAAAGTGATGACCATATGTCAACTAAAGAGTTGAAAGATGTGATTTACTACTGGGAGAAGTTCAGGGAACTGGCTTCAAAGCACCCAGATGTGGAAAAAACTGAACTAACTTTGTGTCATGTTGAGGACTCAATGGTCTCCTTTAAACATAAGTTAATGGTGAGAGGAGAGATGCCCCACAGACCACAATTGACACTTTCTTCAGTAAAAGGCAGAGGGAACAAGATGCTATCCCTCAGCCTTCCACTTCAAGAAGGAGAGAGGATGATGCTAGCCCTCAACCTTCCACTTCAAGAAGGAGAGGATGTTCATGGTGGAGAATTTGTCAGTCCAGAGGTTCCTGACATTTTCATGGAAGGTGACTCACCTTCCAAGAAGCAGTAAAATGCTTCTCCTCCACCTCCACTTTCCTCTCTTCTTCCTTCTCCACCTCCCACTACAAATTCACATCAGCATCATCATCCAGGAGCCTCCTACATACACACCTCAAAGTAAGTGTCAATTTCTAACATTTTTGTTGAATTTAGGCAATTTTTGGTGAGCTGGAATCAATTACCCAAAAACCCATTGAAACAATGGTTTCGGTTCACGAGATTTTCGGTTAACGAGCAACCTGCTGGAACGGATTGTGCTCGTTAACCGAGGGACCACTGTATAAACAACATTATTGCAGCATGGGATGAGGTTACAGAACAGTGCATGAATGAAATATGGAAGAAAGTCCTTTAAAGATATGTGAACAGTTTCAGAGGATTTAATGAAAATTAAGTAATTTCTGAGATTAGTAACAAGATAGTGGAGTTGGGTAAACAGCTTGAGTTAGAAATTGATAATGAAGATGATGAGCAGTTGGTTGAAAGTGTAGCAGAAGAGCTAAGTAACGAGGATCTTATCGAAATGGAAGCACAGAAAAATGCAGAGGAAGAAGAGAGTCTAAATGTAGACGAAGAACCACCCCCCAAAAATTTTTCAGTGAAGCAAATGGCAGAGGCATTTGCTACAATTAATAAGGGGATGCAAATGTTTGACGGCATGGATCAAAATGTTGAGCGTTTTGCCAAAGTTGACAGAATGGTCCAAGATGCACTTGCTTGCTACAGGGGGATTTATAATGAAAAGAAAAAGCAAACTGTGTAGTCTAAATTGGACATCTATTTTAAGAAGTCCCCCATTGTTGTCTCCTCACACCCCACCAGTGCTGCCTCTTCACTCCCTAAAGATGATCCAATACCTTCAACCAGCAAGTTTCCCTCGTACATAAACCTTTCTGAAGAAAGCGACATTGATGACCCACCCAGCCCTGTCTCCTCCTCTGCTTCATCCAATTAATAAAGTCTCCATGTATACCTGTAAATAGAAAATTATGGGGGCCCCGTGTGCATTCAGCTGACTACATTAAAGGTAAGTGCACAGTAATACTGTATCCATTTTTCATTATTGATTACTTTTACTGTACTGTATTTCATTTTGAATTTTATATGTATTATTTTTTGCATTTCCGACTTACGACCATTCCGACTTACGATCTGGATTTGGGTCCCTAACCCCGTCATAAGTCGGGGAGGAGCTGTACAATACAAGTAAAATAAATAATTGTCCAAGGGGCAAACACATAAGGGAATAAACATTTATTTGTACAGTCAACCCTCGCTTTACGCGGTCCCACATTACGCGTTTCCACGTTTACGCGGTACCCTGCCGAAACCGTAATGCTCACATTCAGCGGTGCGTGTACCCCTTTACGAGGAGAGCGGCTGGCGAGCCGCGCCATATTTGGATCCAAACCTCCCGCCATCTCCCGACCATTCGCCATGTTGTGTAAGCGGCGTGAGCAGGGTGCGCACGAGGTCGCCCAGTCATCAAAACATTACCGAGTTCTTCACCCGCCACCCACCACAGCCGGCCCAAGTCAGTGATAGTGATAATGATAGTGAGGATATGGACTTATATGGACTTTGAGGGGTTTGACAAAGAGGCCCTGCAAGCCTCTGTGGTGGATAGTGATACAATTGATACAAGTGATACAGGTGAGGGCCAATAATCTGCCCTCTGCCTCGAACCAACCCCCCATCCCGTGTGCCCAGCCATCTTTTCTACTAATGTAAGTGTTAAAAAACCTAATATTATTGATATTTCTCTTAATTATTAATTGTGTGTGCATACCATCATAAAATTAAGAAGTTATTTTTACTACAACGTAGGTATTGTGTCTGAAAAAGTGGAGTTTGGGGGTCGGCCCGGTCTCTATTTCAATTAATCCCATATGTTATGTTGTTCACTTTACGCGTTTCTCACTTTACGCGGGCCACCGTGGGTTGAATTAACCGCGTAAAGTGAGGGTTCACTGTACACAAGAAAAAATGTAACACCCACCCCCCCCACCCCCAGTCAGCAAATGTTATTCGCGGATTTGGCGATTTGTGGCCATTTAGAAAACCTAACTCCCACAAATTTGAAGGGCTTGCTGTATAAGCTCGGTAGTTTCAGGCACACCAATCTCTCTGGGTAACTGAGGTTTCGTAGAGCAGTCATAGCGTAAGTCCTTATATACATCTAAAAATCACTTAATTTAAGAGAAAAGAAGAAATAGAATGACAAATTATAATAAATAATAGTAAAAAATAAGTCATCATGTAAATAAAATACTGTAAATTTAAATTTTAACCTTGTTTGTATTGGCGGATGTTCGTAAGTTGGACGTTCATACCCAGGGTCTGCCTATATATTATATTAGTGTTTAGTGTTTTAATTTTTGTTCAGTTCATTATGTGATATTTTTCAAGTTGATATTGACAATATGATTATACAATATTTTCTGTTACAATGTTCTGAATTTACCTTCTACCCCCATCCCAATTATTTCCCAAAGGTTTTTAACTCTGTTGAACAAGAATCTATCAAAAATTAGGTCTTCCAGGAATGAATCCCTTGAGCTGGATCAGGAACTATTATATTTTGTAATAATGCACAGCAGATCACATACCACCAGCCCAACTGACAAGTGGCAAAGAGGATATCACGTCAAATACAAATCAATTGCTGTAAGACAAAGGATCATCAAAAACCACACATACAATACCTGTTTGTCTTTTGGGGGGAAATTATCCTTTGCCACAGTGAAATATGGATGGACGGGAAACTTGTAATTATACATCCATTCACAGAAATGGTTTGCAAGATCAAATCCTCGGTAATTGTACGAACAATATTCAAAGTCAATGAGGCATATACGGTCTTCATTAGACTTGGTATGTGTTTTCAATAAAATGTTGCCCTCTTGCATGTCATTATGTGCAAACACCACAGGAGATTGAACCTTTGCCACCACTTGTTTTAAATACTCCATTTCATTATGGTAATTAATCTTCTGCAGTCCCTCAATTATGCTGCTATCAACTCCATCAATACTGGGTGTTTTGCAAAGAAATTCTTGACCTGATTTCAGCCATCTGAAAGAAAGATATAATATATAAATAACCAAACTCTTTCAATACTATTTACATTGCATACAAATTATACACTATTGTCATTATACATTTAAAAACATAATTGTACAATGTGAAGCTCAGATATACTGTACTGTACTGTATGATAAAAGGTCCAGATAAAGAGTACTGTACTGTACTACTACATAAGAGTGGATGAGTATTGATATCATGAGTTGGACAGAGGGAAGGATGTCTTCCAAATTTGGTTTTCCGGGCTGAGAAATTTAACACTAGGATGAAGGCCCAAAGAATTAAGAAGGGGCCAAAAGAAAAAAAAATAGTTTCTTCTTAGTGTTTGAATTTCACAAAATCTGTTGCCTAAAAGAAAAATAATTTTTTTGGAAGCTGTTACATAAATGTCCTACATAATCTGTCCAATTAAAGCCAGAAACTTAAGAAGTGATTCCAACAACTAGACTGCATCCACAGTTCTTTATGGTCTCAGCAAAATGGGAGACTCATCTTGAAATTCCATTTTATAACCAAGTAAAGCTTTCCTAGGAATTCTCATACTGCATCAACATGACTTGGTTGACAGTTTGACACATCTTAGATTCCAGGACCTCCAATTTTGGGTGGCGGATCCAGGATTTTGTGAGGGGATTCGGATTTTGGATGAAGGGAAATAAAGTCACAAGGAAAGAAATAACAATTTAGGCTTGGAAAAATTAACAGTTTCTTTAAATATTATTAACAAGTACAGTACAGTATGACCATTACAGTATCTCCATTAGCTGGAATCCCTCAAACCCGGTACTCTCCAATAGCCGGAATTGAAATTTGCTCGGAATTTTTCCGGAAAATTCCCTAAATTTCGGGTTTGGGAACAAATTCTGAGGTTGAAAATTAGGAGCATTTTCTGAAAAATAAAAATAAATAAATATGGAAAATCTGTCTCAAATTTTTATTTTTGGGTCTGAGAGCAAATATCAAAATAATGAGCAATTACCAGAAAATCTGAGAAAATGGAAGAAAATCACTCCAAACCTTTCTGCTCAGGGCCTGGGGGACAAGGGTTCCCAGTGTTATGAAAGATTGCACCATGTTTAGCCGCATCTTCACATGGTTGGTGCGTGGGTGGGAAGACCGAAACGCTTGGGTAATACAGTAGGCCCTTCAAATTGGTGTGGGTTAGATTCTCAAAATGGCTGTGAATCGCGAAATCAGCAAATAACATTTGCTGATTGGGGAGAGGGGGGGGGGGGTATTTTTTACTACTGTACAAAGAAATGTATATTCCATATATGTGTTTGCCCTTAGGACAATTATTTCTGTTACCTGTATTGTATATATGTGTGTGTGTGTGTGTGTCTGTGTAGACACACACACACACAAAAACATACAAAAATTAATAATGGGAAAATCCTCTCACAAATAATCACAACAAATGTATATTAAAAATGTTGAGTCTACCCTCAAGTTTAATCTGTGCTTTATTAATAACAAAGCACGGAGTAGATTTGAGGGTAGACTAAGCAATATAAATATACGTGTACATTTGTTTGTGATTATTTGTGAGAGGATTTTCCCATTATTAATTATTTGTATGTTTTTGTGTGTGTGTGTCTATACACACACACACACACACACACACACACACACACACACACACACACATATATATACAATACAATACTGTACATATATACAATCAGAAAGAAATGTATTACAAATATTGAGTCTACCCTCAAGTCCACTCCGTGCTTTTTTATTAATAAAGCACGGAGTAGACTTGACGGTAGACTCGAAAATTTTAAATATACTGTACATTTGTTTCTAATTATTTGTAAGAGGATTTTGCCTTTACAGTAAAGCCTCCGATTACGGCGGTTCTACTAACGACGATTCAAATTTAAGACCCTGGTTAATTTAGGACCCAATTCAATTTACGCTATTATTTTCTTCATATTTACGACAAAATTAGAAGAAAAAAAAACAAATTCAAATAAATATATGTACAGTAGTACCCCGATTTATGCGGTCAATTGAACCCACAGGGTACCGCGGAAAGTGAAATCCGAGTAAATGGAACAACAGAACATATGGGATTAATTCCAATAGAGACTGGCCCGACCCCCAAACTCCACTTTTTCCGACACAATACCTATGTTGTAGTAAAAATAACAGCTAAATTTTATGATGGTATGCTCACACAATTAATATTTAAGAGAAATACAGTCGCCAGGTTAATGTCCATTCAAATAATAGACTCAAATCCCCCCCCCCTCTTCCCAGCTCACTGGCCCCTACCTCTCTGAGAAATGATTGGGTGAAACACTAGATTTTAACGTTTAGTAATAAATAATACCTCAGACTAAAGTTAGGATAATATAATTGACATTTCTGGATTCCTTGCAGGTCAGGGAATATTTTGAATGTAAACTTCATATATTTTGCACAAAAGATAAAATACTTGCTTTGTGTAAACCAAATTATTACATTAGATCTAAAATTTGTATGTCTAATGCAAAATCCATGATGTTTATATTCAAAATGATCATCATATTGTAAGAATTCCAGCAATGTAAATTATATTCTGGTCCAGTAATTTGTATGAATTTTATGAGCTAAAACAAATATCTTCAGTTAATAAAAAAAAAAATATTCTTCACGACACTATCTGTCAATCAAAGTACCCCAACTTGCCTCCCCCCTCTTCCAACCGCGCCAGATGGTCGGTCGGTCCCAACCCTCCCCCCCACCCCCACCTTCCCTCCCTACCAGAGAAATGTTGGGTGAAAAAACTAATTTTAACTTTTAGTAACAAATAATACCTCAGACTAAAGTTAGGATAATATAATTGACATTGCTGGATTCCTTGTAAGACCAGGAACATTTTGAATATAAATGTCATATATTTTGCACAAAAGATAACATATTTACTCAGAGTAAACATTAGATCTAAAATTTGTATGTCTAATGCAAAATCTATGATGTTTATATTCAAAATGATCATCAAATTGTAAGAATTCCAGCAATGTAAATTATATTCTGGCCGGGTAATTTGTATGAATTTTATGAGCTAAAACAAATATCTTCAGTTAATAAAAAAAAAAATATTCTTCACACCGTGCCAGATGGTCGGTCGTCCCTCCCTACCAGATAAATGTGTGGGAAAACTAGAATATTCACCTTTTTGGTAATAAATAATACCTCAGACTAAAGTTAGGATAATATAATTGACATTGCTGGATTCCTTGCAAGACCAGGAATATTTTGAATACAAATGTCATATTTTGCACAAAATATAACATATTTACTCAGAGTAAACATTAGATCTAAAATTTGTATGTCTAATGCAAAATCTATGATGTTTACATTCAAAATGATCATCAAATTGTAAGAATTCCAGCAATGTAAATTATATTCTGGCCGGATAATTTGTATGAATTTTATGAGCTCAATAAAAAAAAAATTATACTTCGCGCTTATATATGGGTAGATGAACCGAGGAAAGTGAAAGTTGGTTCTGGCGAGGCACCGCGTATATGAGAAATCGCGTAAAGTGAAACCGCGTAAAGTGGGGTAATACTGTATTATAAAAAACAAAATAAATACCATATATCACGGCCTATAAGACGAAATTTGAACATTAAAAAAATCTGCCCAAAGTTAGGGGGTCGTCTAAACCACCAAGTTTAAAATTCTTACCTCTTAAATATTGTGGTTTAGTGTGTCAAGAGTGGTGATGAAAACATCGTAAGCCACTCACAAGGTCTTACCACTAATTATTTTATATTGAAACTTACGTTTGGCAAGCTGGATTCAAATTAAGATTACCGGTATATTAAAATAATAAAAATTTATTATAAACCTGTCTAACATACCCTGTAATAAACACAGCTATCATCACACACCCCTCCCCACGCCCCCCCCCCCATTTGCCAGTGAGGAGACAAGAAAGGGAAAGTGACCGCGAGATTGCGCTATTTTTAGCCGTGGAGGTGGTCAGTAATGCATATCGGTATCGGTATATTTACTCATAATAATATTTATCTCCTATAAATAATTGATTTAAATTTTATTTTTTTACAAAGAATATTCAGTAAATGAGTGCATTAATTCTTGAAACTATCGACGGTTAATTACAGACGCTCAAGTGACGTCACTAGTGTTTACACTACACCAGCTGGTAATATTTGATGCCATTACTTGAAGTGAATTGGCCTTATTTTAAGTAACTAACTATAAATAAATACAAAAATTAAAAAAAAGATCAAAACTGAGAAATAATATACTGTATGTATGTTGTGTTGTCAAAGTAAGAGGAACAATTGAAACTGCAATTGTGTAAATGAGGCAGAAAGTCAGGTCAGCAACCTGGGACTTGGTCACAATTTTCGTGATGCCATATGGCAGCAGGGTCTACCATTAGACAACACATTATGCTTCCAATATCTTCCCAGGCAGTAGTACCTCCCTGTTTGGTAGCTGCCTACTACCTACACAATTTCTAGTAATATTAATTTGATACATGATAAATTAGACAAACTGAAAATAAACATCAAATTTAATTACCAACAGTGTGTTTAATATATTACAGTATATTATAAATAAATAAATAAACAAATAATTCGGTAAATCTATTTCAAGTAAATGGAAAATAAGCAAACATGTTATTTACCAAGACGCATCCCTCTGGCTCAGGGTGAGATGGAGGGGAGATAACAAGGCTATTTATAGCCCGTCTGAAGTGGCCAGTACCCTAATGCACCATAAATAATTCATTGAACATTCATTTTTTGTACATAGTATATATATATATATATATATATATATATATATATATATATATATATATATATATATATATATATATATATATATATATATATATATATATATATATATATATATATATATATATATATATATATATATATATATATATATATATATATTTGTGTAATAAATGTATGTAGTAAGTACATACTGGTAACCTTTTTCACTCAAATCCTAATGAAACACCACAATTAG